GGAGTCTCCTGCTCTGGAGAGATCCCAAACCCTCCTGGCTGTGACCCTGGGCACCCTGCTGTGGCTGATGCTGCTTTATCAAAGGGGTTGGACAAGATTTATCCCCTGAGGTCCCTCCCAACCTCCCCTTCCCATGCTGGGATTCTGTACCTCTGGCACTCCGTGGGCCCTCTGCCTTTTGTGGTAGCATTTTTGGGTTTGGGGGAACTGCCTGCTTTGTTTGCTCTCTAGAAATGACTGTTCAGATGAAACTACCAACCCTCAGACGTGCTCTCTGCATTTGTGCAGCTGGCATCTCCAGCCTGGCCCTTCGGTGACCCACGCCAGGCTCTTCTGGGCAGCATTCCCTCCTCAGATAGCCTGGAGAAGGCAGCAGAGCTGGTCCCAGCTGCTGGTACTCTGTTACCAGCTGCTTGAGGCAATCCCAGGGGTGGAGAAGAGCAGGAGCAGCAGGGTGGCAGGGCCAGAAGCAGCTCTGAGGCGGGGAGGCCGAGGTCCCAGCGCTCGGTGTGACGCCCTCTCTGGTTTTTTTCAGGCTGGTCACCCTTTCCAGCAGCGCTGCGCCCAGTCGGCCTACTCCAACAGCAAGCAGAAGTGGGAGGCCCCAGTTTTCCTCCTTTTCTTGGACTGTGTGTGGCAAATCCTTCGGCAGTTCCCTTGCTCCTTCGAGTTCAACGAGCAGTTCCTGCTCCTGCTCCTGGAGCACGCCTACGCCTCGCAGTTCGGCACCTTCCTGGGCAACAACGAGAGCGAAAGGTCAGGGGGGGGAGGCTTCTTCTGAAGCCTTTCAATGTCTGCCTGAGTCTGACCAAACCAGAAGTCCCTTGGGTTGGAAAAGGGTGGGGGTGTTGGTGTGGTTTGAGGTTGTGTTAGGGAGCTTGTCCCCTTTCCTGAAGAGATTTGGTGACTGAAAGGAATTTGCAGCGTGGTCCGGGGGTTGAATTGGTCCGTCTTCAAGTTTATACCTTCATCTGTCTTTGTTTCTCTATGTGTGGCTTTGAAAAATCTCCACCCATCCCCAGATTATGGAGTCCCTTATGCAGAAAGTCTTCCCCTAAAAGAATAAAGAGTTGAAGAGTTTTAGAGTGAGTCACAGCTGTGGGAAGGAGACTTGTCCATGCAGGCCTGCAGGAGAAAGTCGAGGCTTTCAGCTGAAGGGCAGGGCTGGAAAGTCTGGTTCTCACCCTAACTGCCAGGGAGGAACCCAGAAACTCTGTGGCCCCCTGAAAAGGAAGGCTTGGGGTGTTGCCACGAGCTGATGGTCTCCTGCTAACTGATGGCCACTGAATGAGTGGAAGGGAAAACCAGAAATGAGATGACGGATGTGGAAGGCAATTTAAAGCTTCTTATAAACTTCTCTGCCCTTAAGTGCTTTGAAAAGACTCTCCCATCTTCTGTGCTGTCTGAAGCACTCACAGGGGTGGTGAATCTCCTCCCTGGTGGCAGTTCCATTTGCTTGTGGGTACAGGATGAGGGTTACCAGGATCTAAGGAGGTCTCTGTGTGACTCCTGGAGGTGGGTTTGACCCAGTAAAAAGCAGATGTCTCTCCAGTGCTTCTTGCCAGCAGAGGGACCTAACCAGACTTGCCCATTGCACACTTCCACCAATAACATTGCTGTTGTGTGCTCTGAGACTGCATTGAGGGTCCTTCAGTGGACACCTACACCTCCCAGCTGGTCTAGACCCTTCAAAACCTGGCAGTCAAACCACCCTGGGGAGGTGACTGGTTCTTCAGCTGGACAGAAGGCAGCTTCCACCCAGCTTAAAAATGGCATTTCCCTGGCTTTTCTTCAGAACTAATTATAATGAGCCAGATTGAGTAAACTGCTTCATGTTTACACCCTGGGCAGTGTTGGTGAGAGGTACTGAAGGGATCAACCCAAGTTGTCTGAGCTAGGAGGACATGGCAAAGCTGGTGACAAAACCAGATGAGCCTTCACAGCACAGCACAGGGAAAGCTGACTTGTTCCTCTGGCTTTCTTCAGGTCTAAACTGAAGCTGCCACAAAAGACCATGTCCCTGTGGTCCTGGGTGAACAGGGCTGAAGAGCTGAGCAAGTTCCAGAACCCTCTCTTTGAAGCCAACAGCCTGGTGATCTGGCCCTCGGTCGCCCCGCAGAGCCTGCAGCTCTGGGAAGGTAAGCCAGGCAGGAACAGGCAGGGTGGGCTTTGCAGCTGCTTGTAAAGCTTCTGAGGTGTTCACTCCTGCTCTCTCTGCTTTGTCTCCACTGATGGTGATCCCTCTGCCTTTGAAAGCCCTTCCAAAATGTTTTTGTCCCCAGAGGCATAATGCTTTTCTCCTCCTGAGGCTTGGTGATGTGCTGCTCCTCGTCAGGGAGCCTTCCTAGTCCCATTTAACTTCTTCACACAGCATTTCTGCAGTGGGAGAGCCTCATCTGTAGATGTTCTGCAGGCCTCAATATCAACCAAGGCTTCCCCTGCTCCATCACTGACTCTGCTGGCCAGGATCACCTGTGTGCAGTACATTTAGAAGAATAGAATAGTTTGGGTTGGAAGAGACCTTCAAATTGAGTGCAGCCATTCACCCAGCACTGCCAAGGCCACCACTAAACTGTCCCTCAGCACCACATCTCCATGGCTTCTAAATCCCACTGGGGTGGGGACCCCACCACTGCCCTGGGCAGCCTGGGACAGGGCTTGACAAACCTTTTGGGGAAGAAATGTTTCCTAATATCCAATTTAAACCTCTTTCCTCTTTTCCTGTCCCTTGTTCCTTGGGAGCAGAGCCCGACCCCCCCCTGGCTCCAGGCTCCTGTCAGGAGCTGTGCAGAGCCAGAAGGTCTCCCCTGAGCCTCCTTTGCTCCAGGCTCAGCACCCCCAGCTCCCTCAGCTGCTCCTCCCCACACTTGGGCTCTAGACCCTTCCCCAGCAGCTCCGTTGCCCTTCTCTGGCCACGCTCCAGCCCCTCAAGGGCCTTTTTGGAGTGAGAGGCCCAAAACTGACCCCAGGGTTTGAGGTGCCACCTCCCCAGTGCTGAGTGCAGAGGACAGCAGGTTCCACACTGCAGAAACTTTCTCCCCCCCATGTATGCCAAAGAGTTAACTGCATGGGCAGGCATGAGGAGAGGGGCTGAAGTTGCACCAAGGGACGTTTTGGTTGGATATTAGGAAGAGTTTATTTGCTGCAAGAGTTGTGAGACATTGGCCCAGGCTGCCCAGGGAGGTGCTGGAGTCACTGAACATGTGTCCATGTGTAGATGTGGCACTTGGGGACATGGTTTCATGGTCATGGGAGTGTTGGGTTGATGGTTGGACTTGATCTTGGAGGTCTTTTCCACCCTTTAGGATTCTGTGGGTGGAGACTGAATAAGGATTGGTGTGATCAGGCTGTGAGGAAAACAGGAATGAACCTCCCTAATTTTTTCTTTATTAACCTTGATGAGGAGAATGGTGAACTTGGGGAGGGGGGTAAGGGAAAAATGTGTGAAGTTGATGCACCTGAGCTGAGAGCTGATGGAGGAAACATTATCCCCATTCCTTGTAACCAGAAACCCTTCTGAGTTGTGGTGTCTCTGGGCTTTCAGGGGTCTTCCTGAGGTGGAACAGACCTTCCAAGTTCCTGGACGAAGCCCAGGAAGAAATGATCAACATCATAAAGTACAACAAAGAACTCCAGGCCAAGGTGAATGCACTGAGGAGGCAGCTGGCAGAGATGGAAACGGATGATAGGATGCAGGAGAACCTCTGAGGTGACAGGTGGAGGACTAAACATGGCCAGGGCATGTGTTGCAGAGCCCTCCAGGTACAGTTGACCCTCAGCCCTCCCACTGCTGAAACCTTCACTTCACACTTGGTCCCTCTCTGCTTGCTGGGAGGGGTTTCTGTTTTGTTTACAGAAGACACACTCAGCTGGGCACAGTGTCTTCTCTTGGCAGCTTTTCTGTCCCAAAAGAGTGGCAGCAGGAGCTGGAACTCTTAACCTCCACCCAACTGTATGGATGACCAGGATGTGGCCAAGAGATGGGGATGTTTCAGATTTGTTTTGGACTTTTTTCTGGTGGTGTTGAGCACTAAACACTTGTCAGAGGTAACGTACAACACAGAGAGGTGAAGCACTGTGGCTGAGAGCACCTTTTCTTTCCAAGGTTGAGGCAGCTTAGTTCTTTAGTTTCCTGGAAAAAACTAGAAGCTGGTACAATCTAACTGCAGGTTCTACCAGTCTGGGATACTCTCAGTAGCCTTCACATCTAACACTTGGGTTTGGGGTTTTTTTTGTGGGTTTTTTTTTGTGTTAAGCATTGGCCTGGGAGCAGTAAGTTGAATAATTCCAAACCAGAACAAGAATTTTCAGTGCAATACAGAACTGAAGTAGGGATTCTGCTGCTAATGTTGAAGCCATGACTTTCAGGTGGAATTGTCCTTCATGGACAAACACCTCCTAGGGAATAACAGTGTCTTTTTTTTTTTAAAATTCTACCTGGAGAACAAAAAGATGGAGCTGGCAGAGGTGCTGACCTGCAGAACAGTGGCTTGGAGCTGTCCTCCTGACCAGAGTCAAGCTGCCCTCTTGAAAGCTGGAACTGCACTGGCTGGTTTGGTGCTCTTGGGACAGCTCCAGAGTGTTGCTGAGGTGCAAGAGCAGCACTTCATCTACAGCTCCACAAAACTGTTCTGCTCCACCTGGTGTGGGGGTTTGTGTTTGGTTTTTTTTTATCTTTCATGCTGTTATTGTGTGTTTGGGGTTTTTTTGAACCATCAGAAGCAGGCATTGGGGAGTTGAGGTGCTCTGACATCTGCTGCAGGTTGAGAGGCTGTCACACTACAGAAACATTAATAGCTGAGATCATTTGTAGCTGCTAAAACTGCTTAAAGACTTTAAGGATAAGCTTTTTTTTTTCTTTTCCAAGTAACTTTGTATTTTGTAGCTGACCTTTTATGTTTTGATGCCTGCAGTCTGCTTTTATAAAACCTGTTTTCCCCAGAGATAATTCTTTTTTCTTCCTCCTTTAAAAAGAGAGGTAAGAGCTGTCTGAACTCTTTCCTCACCCAGGCACTTGTTCAGCTTGGCTCCACTGGTAGCTGGATGTGACCAAGAGCTGAATTAACAGCAGTGCATGTGGCTGGGATAATCTGACAAGGCACTTGCTGGGTTAGGCTGTGCCTCCTGAAGGGAATGGAGCTGCACTGGGTCAATCTCTGCAAACTCTTGAGCTTCTGTGACCCTTTAGGCTGGTTTGGAATGAAGCTGCCTTGGGGAAAAGCCACTTCACATAAAGATAGATCCTCATACAGGACAGTGGAGGGTCTTGACTTGAAGTATCCGTGGAGTAATCTGCAAAAATCATGGAGCCACTAAATATATTCTAAAAAAAAAGTGATATAAAAAGATGTGGGAGTGATCAAGTGCTACCTTAATGCCATTCTCCTCACTCTTTACTTCCTTAATTTCTTCACAACTAACCTCAAGTCAGGCTTAAAAACTAAAAAGATCCCTTTTAAACCCTTGGTTCACTTCAGGCAGAAGAATAACTCCCTGGACTTGAAACAGCAAATATGTTTTAGGTTGGGAGAGTGACAGCTTTGTTCACTACATGAAGTCTGAGGCAGGGCTGTGCCTTCCCCCCACCTCCAGATGCTGGCTCCAGGAGATTCCTTTCTGGGTTTATGGCAAATAGAAGCCCTTAAAATTATTGTCCACCCTTTAAAATGATGTCTCTGGGCTCTGCATCTGCCTGGCTGTTGCATTCATTCACAATTCCCCCTGCTGCCTGTCCCTCTGAAGGAGGTTCTCTCTAGCCAGATGGGAAGGATTCAGAAGACACTGTTTTCCCTAGAACAGACTACACATAAAACACTTAAAGGTTATGTAATTTCCTAACCTAGTAATTATAGATTGAGCTAAATAATAGAGAAGCAAAGAGGCTGGGTGGGGTTTTCTTTTTGGATCTAATTGCCTGGCTGCTCCAGTCTCTTCTCCAAACTGCAGGCATCTGAGGAAATGGGATAATCAGCTGCCACAGCCAACAGGGCAGAAAATCCTCTCCCAGCTGCAGTTTCACCCTCCACTTGTCTTTCAGGGCCTGAACCCCCACCCAAGGGCAGGGTGCTGGCCTGGGCTGGGTGCTGCTGTGGTTCACAGGCTCTGGGTGGGGTTCTGAGCCCCCCCCCAGCAGGTTCTCCCCAAATTCCTCTGCTGTGTGTGTCTCTGTCTCACCTCGAAGCTGCTGCCAGCAGCAGGAGCTGGAGGCTGATGTTCAACCTGCAGGTCACCACCTTCCTGAGGTGTTCCCCACAGCAGTCCTGTGCTGGAGGGGGGGACAAGCTGCATGGACCCTCCTGGGAGAAGACACTTCACAGAGCTCTTGTCACCTTTCCATTCCCAAGCTGCAGCTGGTGTGACACACCCCAGAGCACCCCAGCTCTTTGCTTAGCTGCATGTCCACCCTATTTATTCACCTGTTGAAGATGAATGGTTGACTTGGCTTCCTCTTAGAGGGGGTTTTGTGCTGGACTCCACCCCAGGATGTCACCAACGCCCTGGCTGCAGGTTCTCCCTGGGCTGGGAGTGCTGGGGCAGTGCCCAGCTCTGGCTCTGGGCTCTGACACTGCCTTTACCCTCTCTCTGCCATCCCTGTTTCTGCTCTTCTGCACCCTGGGCTCGAGCAACACGGACGCTCTGCCAGCTCCCAAAAACTAACCCAGAAACAAAGGGAAAAAGGAACAAACTTGCACAGTTTTCATAAGGGAACACAGACCTTCAGTATCTTGATTGTATTGATGAACTCTTGAATGTGGCAAGGGGTTGAAGTGCACTATTGTCCCTGCTGCAGAGGTCAGGGCTTCACCTTGCACTGCCCAGCAGCTTGGCACCTGCTTGGCTCAAGCCTTGGGGAGTGCTGTGGGTGGGCAGGCTCCTGTGGGAGGGCAAAACCTCAGCACTCAGCACTCCCTTTTCTCTTTTTTTGTCTGGTAACCATGTGCCCCTGAATAGTAGCACTGTGTGATGTGTGCTGCCTGTCTGTGAGCTCGTGCAAAGGGCTGCCCTTCTGGCCAGACAGCTGGAATGGAGATTTGGGCTTGGCTGCTGCATCAGGCCTGGAATCTTCTTTTTGTAAAGCTGAACTAAGGGGCTGGGAGTTGTGTGCTGTTGTTTAGATGTATGCTGTAAATGTACAGAATCCCAGCTGCTGCAGTGTTAAATATATTGCAAAAAAAAGAGAAAAAAAACTAAGAAATCTGAGAAATTATCACAGCTCAAACTGCTTAGGCATCTGGGGGGAGAGAACCAGCTATGAAGTGGCTGTAAACTTTGCTGTAGATATGTTGAGAACACAGTAGAAAATGTCTGTTCAAATTAAAACCTTGAAGACTCTAAAAAGTTCTTTAATTACAGTGCTGAATTTTCTTCTTGAGTCTCCTTTTCACTTCCCATGTGTGTGTGTGACTCGGGTGTAAGCTCTGGCCTCAAACTTGGGTTCTTTTCAGCTCAGAGGGGATTTTTTGTACAGCTGAGCAGGCTGTGGTGGTAGAAGTGGGGTTTCAGAGAAGCAGAATGGTTTGGGTGGGAAGGGAACTTTCAAAGTCACCCAGTCCAACCCCCTGCAGGGAGCAGGGACATCTGCAGCTA